TCTAAATTGCAGCTCTGTAAGTCATTTGAGTTGTAAGCGACTGTTAAAAAGTATATAAGCCTCCTGATTTTGCTCTTGGGGGGGAACCCCTTCCAAGTGCTTAGAAAATCCATGTCACTTTGGAGTCCCCCCTACAGCTGTAGTTTCATTTAAATAAAAACTTCTGCTGACCTGACCCAAAAGTATGCTGTGTGTGTTTCCACGACACCTCCTCTGTAGTTTGAAAAAAAAAAAAAGTCATAAAAAGGACACATTCTACAATAAAGTACAACATCTGTCACCATAGCTCCACCACTGGGTATTCAAAAAAGAACTTAAAAGCACAGAAAGAAAGCAGGATAATGAAAGCATAATGTGAGGTTCTAGCCATAATTTAATCTCTTGTGCCCTTTCTGGTAACACAAGGTTAGGTGAGCACCTTGCCAAGATAAGATGTCAGGAACATTAAATAGATTATGATACTAATTACTCTGTATAACTAGTGTGGGGAACATGGGGAACGTCAAGCTTCAGGGTGTTGTTGATATCATTATTCCATTTAGATGCCATTTCGTTTGCATCTTTCAATCCATACACAGGGCGTATGGCCAAGATGTATTTATGCAGGATGGTTTTGGGTGCTTGATGAAACATCTTTAAGAGTGCTCTGTTTAAATCAAAAGGTACTCAAGCACTTCTTCCCTGTTGGGCACCCAAAAATTGAATGGACTCAAAAACAGAAGCAACTGCTTCATACACACAGACAACATTTTCATAAAGAGTAACATCTGCGGTTGTGTCAGGAAGGATAATATTCCAAATGTGAGAAATCCATAAATTTCAGGCCATAAGAAAATCATCCGGTAGGATCCCAAAGAAGAAAACACAATCATGTTTGTACAATTATGGAATCATGGCAAGGCAGGGTTTATTTTCTCCTGGAACATCTGGCTGCAGGAACAGTTACCAAAAATATCACTAGCGAAGCCAAAATGACATACAAATGTGATTCCAGCCACCATCAACTAAACCAACTGCACTATTGCAGATGTGTGAACCAGAGAGAGTCAGTCATAGGCGCCGACTTATTTTTGCTGGGGGGGGGAGCGCCTAAGATGATGGACATGTGGAAAGTTTTACACCTTTCAGGTGTCAGCCCTCTTCCCAAGGGAGGGAGCAGGGTCTTCGGGCCCCCACGTACTTGGCTCCTCTGATCACAATGCAGCTTAATTACAGCAGAAGGGCTTCTGAAGCTTTCTCTCCACTGTGACAACCGTGTGTGTTGGCCAGGACATGCCCAAACATGTGTGCACACACACATATGCACACATGCTCTCCTGCCCCATACGTACATCTGTCAGAAGCATGTTCTAAACCCTGATGTATGCCTGCAAGGCTGCTCTGAGCTAGCTCCACCAGCAGCTCTCAAACACTCCAGAGACAGCCCCAACAGGCTTCTGGATTTGGAGCTTGCCTCCTAGTCCCAAGTAACCACATGCATCACTGACTGCTGCAGGGCCCTTATCTAGGACACAGAAGACATAGGCTCAAGCACCCTGCTGTGAATTGGGCACAGCAAAGCCTTGGACCTTAGTCTTCTACATTCCGGGGCAGTGCCTCCCCTGGCCATCAAGCTATCGGTTTTTTTAAATCTCTCTCTCCCTCTTCCTCCCTTGCAAAATTCCCCCCTAGACCAGAAGAGCCTTCCCAACAGACTTTGTCTTCAAAATGAGTATTTCCATATAACATTTCAAGTTCGATAACATGGTATTTTCCAGAGAGAAAAAACAACCTCCACATTTAATTGAGAAGTACCTCAACCATCTCTAAATATCCCCAAAATCAACTTATTTCAGTAGTGATGAGGCTTTACTTTTTAGTCATGAATAGGGGTGGGGATTTTCAAAGGAGATTCTAGAATGTGGGTGTCTGCTTCGAAAATCCCAGTTAGAAGCTATAGAAAACAAAAGACTAATATTGTTGTTTGAGACTGTAACATTTACTTACCCCAAATTAGAGGCTGAGCATCTCCTATGGTTGCCAGGTGTTTGAAGGTCCTCAGAATGAGGAAATGTGTAGGATTTTTATTCTGCCCCATGGCTAGAAAGGACAGCGAGACCTGTAAGTGCGCACACAAAAGATTAGGTTACTTG